TAGTTAAAGACTGGATGTAAAGTTCTTAGCATAGTGCAGCTAGCTGTCGAAATGTAGTTTGTGATTATCTTAACAGGAGTCCTGGTGGGGCACTGTAGGATAAGCACTGGACATCTAATCTCAAAGTCAGCAGTTCAAACTCACCAGCTACTCCTCAGAAACCCTATACAGAGTCACTATGAGTCGGAACCAACACGATGACATTTAACAAGATATCCAAGGGCACTGAGGTTCTAATTGCCATCAAGTTGATTCCTACCCGTTGTGACTGTAATATGGTTTCTGAGGCTGTGTTGTGCCTCAGTTTACCCAGATGACCACTCAAGACTCTCAGGATCAATAAGGAAGCCTTTATTAGCTGGCCAGCGACTACAGCCTCCCTAAAAGCAGGGAAGACTGCAACCCCTACCCAGTTTTTCAAAGAGTATTTATACATAGGCAGTCTGCCATTATCTTGTACAAACCAAGGGTAGGGTATGAGTTGTTAGGATGTGGGCTAGGGGTACATCTGCTAGGACAGTTATTTCTCAAGATTTACTTTGGCTGGCTGTTCTCAAGGTTAGCCTTGGCTGGCTGGCTGGCTGCAGCGTACTGTTAGTCAGGCGGGCCCACTCAGATTCAAGGAGTTTGCATAAACATTTTTACAAAAGACAAGTTTAGCCAGAGTTAAAGGGAGAAGGGGGTTTATGCATTCGGGGAGTTGTTGATGCTAAAAATTTCCCACTTCAGCCTGATCCTTTCCTAAAAATTAGTTACTATAGGGCAATTAAGGAGCTCTGGTAGCGTAGTGGTTACGAATCGGGCTGCAAACTTCAAGGTCAGCAGTTTGAAACTACCAGCTGTTCCGCGGGAGAAAGATGAGGCTTTCTGCTCCCATAAAGATTTACAGCCTCAGAAACCCTGTACAGGGTCACTACGAGTCAGAACCGACTCCACGGCACATAACAACATAGGGCAATTGGGCCTTACAACTGTAAATCTTTATGGGAGCCTCATCTTTCTCCTTTGGAGCAGCTGGTGGTTTGAACTGCCAAACTTGCAGCCCAGTGCCTGACCCAAAACACCACCAGGGCTCATTTATTGTTGTTGTTAAGTGCCACTGAGCCAGTTCCAACTCATAGCAACCCTGTACAGGGTTCTCAAGGAGTGGCTGGTGAGTTTGAACCTCCAACCTTGTGGTTTAAACTGACCTTTCAGTCCAGTGCATTATCCTGCAGTGTCACACACAAAGGCCTTGGAGAATCCAGTGATACTTATGGCAGAATTCCAGGGATGGCAGCAGGGTTATATTTGGAGCAGGAAGTGTCCCCCAAGTCTCTTATTCATCCATCAAGGACAGAGTTCTGTGTTCTTCATGGCATTTGATGTTAGAGGTATACCAGTAATAAACCAGCAGAGTTGGGAACCAGAGTTGGGAACCAGTGAGCTACTCCAAGGGGCTTTCTAGAGGTAGTATACTAAATTGTCTTGGGGTGGGGGGGGCGGAAAGTTTAAATTCAAACATTTCCAAAATATTTAGGTATTTAAAAATACCAATGGTGCAACTCATTTCCAAACTGAATGACTGTGTGATAGCTATTTATCTAACTAGTGCATGCTGATTCCAGGAAAGAGAGGTTAGGGCATACCCCATAATCTTGGTGCAAGGAAATGAATGGCTTGGTAGAGCACCTTTTTTGTAGAGTTGCTTGGGGATCTTGTTCAGTAGGTCTGGGGTCAGGCCTGAGACTGCATTTCTAACAGGGTCCTAAGTGATGCCAATGCTGCTGGCCATGGAACTACACTTTGAAATTCAAGGTGGTGGGCAGAGCTCAGCTCTGAAGTCTTGTACTTACTTTACCCTAGAATATCACTTACTGTCAGTTCTTGCTCGACAGCACACTAGCTCTGTTTGTACCTAAATGAGCCCTGAATTATCATTCCTATCTCCAAAAGTGATGTAAAAATGACCTCACAATTGGAAAACTGTTCTTGTCTTCTCACGCAGCCCTAACCAGAAATTGCTCAAGGAAGTAGAAAATGCTGTAACTGAACCATAAGCTCCTCCCAAGGTCGCCCTCTGCTGGTGAACTATTTTTCTCCTAAACCCCAACCAAGCCTTTCTATGCTGCTGAAACACTTATTTTTTTTCTTCCAATTAATACAAGCAGAAAAGTTTATGGATTATTCCAAAAGTTTATTTCACTTTTGTAGATACTGGAGAATTTTTCCCTCTGTCCTTAAAATGTATCTTTCAGAGGCACCAGATAATGTTTTATTAACACTGACTACAATTCCTATTTAAGGAGCCCTGGTAGCGTAGTGAATTCTAAGCTGGGTTGCTAACCTCAAGATCAATTGTTCATATCTGCCAGTTGCTCCTTAGGTGAAAGATGAGCCTTTCTGCTCCATAAAGGTTTACAACATCAGAAACCCTACGCAGTGTCCCTTTGAGTCCGAACCAACTAAGCAGTACACAACCATCACCAATTCCTGTTTCTGTGTGGGGCCTAAAATGCCCTCATCCTACCCCGACTTTGTTCTTACCCCATCCCAGGTACTTTCCACGGTGGGGTAGCAAGCCTTCCTTTATACACTGAGCATCTCAAGTCAGGAGGAAGCAGCAGTTTGTTTTTTTTTAATCTGAGGTTGGAGTTGGTAGGAGAGGCAAAGGTGGTATTATTGCTCAGAGACACCCAGGGCAAAAACAACAGATGAGGAGCTGGAAGGTGAATGCCACAGTTCATATCACCGTCATTCATTCATTTGCAAACCTTAGGACCAGGCACACTGAACACTCATCGCTTGATAGAGGAATAAGCACAATACACACTGCTTGATAGATGCCAACCACAGAGATGGATTATCCAATAAGCAAGGTAAGCATGGGCTTACTTGTGCTTACTAACTCATTTGTAGTGAACAGATTCACATGGGAAAAACATCTGAGCCTGTTCACTACAGATTAGTAAACAAGGACAAGTAAACCTATATATCCCTAGTTTGTTGTTGTTAAGCTCAGTCGAGTCGGTTCTGACTCACAGAGACCCAGTATAGGGCTTCTGAGCAGCAATTGGTGGGTTTGAGCCACTAACCTTTCAGTTAGCAGTCCAGAGCTTCTCCTTCAGCACCACACCAAGACTGGGTACTATGTCCCTGTTGGGGACTGGAAATTTGAAAAGAGGCTTTGCTTTGAAAAGAGGTGCTGGGGGTGAGGAAAGAGGTGTCAGCTATAACTAGGAGCAGAATCTTTGATGTGGTGGAAAAGTGTGAAATTGTTCGTTACAAATTAGTAAGGACATGTAAGCTTGTGCTTACCTTGCTTATTAGGTAACTCAATACTGGCCAATCACCATGCTGACACTTCTTGTTTGATTGTAATTCTCACAGCAATCCTATGATTATTTGAATTGTCCAGATGAGAAAATTGGAGTGCAGAGAAATTGAGTACAGGTGACTTTTTTAGTTAATTAGGAAGCAAGGTGGCTTCAAGCAATGTTTTATTGTCCTTGAAGGTGTTCTGGGAGTTGAAGGGCTCAGCTGACTGGTTCTCATTTGGGATTCCTTATACAGTTAGGAGCATGGTGGATAAGCACTGGACTGCGAACCACAAGTTGGTGGTTCGAGCCCACCAGCAGCTCCATGGGAGAAAGATAAGGCTTTCTGCTCCCACAAAAAGATTTAAAACTTAGGAAATTCTATACAGGGTTACTATGAGGCAAAACCATGGCATTTAACAACAGTAAACTTTCTTATGACTTAGCTTCTAAAAGCATATGGCATCATTTCAACTATATACTTTTGGTCAAAGCAGCTATCGGTCAGCTCAGATTCAAGGAGTGAAGGACTGAATTCTTTCACCAATGGGAGAATGTTGTAATGGGAGAATAGCAGGGAATTAATAAAAAAAACATTTTGGAGACAAGTTATCACAAATGGATTTGAACTTCAGCAGTATGACTCCAATATCTGTGTATTTTACCATTATGTTCTACTCACTCTCAAGTAATACACATACAGTTACAAGGCAAACAGTTAATGTGTTCAGCTGCTCAACAAAATGTCAGCAGTTCAAATCTACCAAGAGGCACTTCAAAAGAAAGATCCAGTGATTGACTTCTGAAAAATCAGCCATTGAAAAACCTGAAGGACACAGTTATACACTAACACGCATGGGTTTCACTTCCTGTGAGTCAGAATTAACATGACAGCAACTGGTTTCATTTTTTGGGTAGTCTTTTTAAAAAAAAAAAAAAAACTAGTAATGAATATAAAACATCATCAACTCTACCCAGAAGGTTGGAGGTTCTAAAACACTAGCAGCTCCAAAGGCGAGAGATCTGGCAATCTGTTCTCAAAAATATTGTTAAGTGTCATCGAGTCGATTCCGACTTACAACAACCCTACATAGAACTTTCAAGGAACAGCTGGTGTGTTTGAACCCACTGATTAACAGTCTGGTGCTTATCCTTTTACAGCCTAGAAAACCCTATGGGGCAGTTCTACTTTGTCATATGGGTTTGCTATAAGTCAAAATTGACTCAAAGTCACCTACCAGCTCCAACAACAGAGGAGGAAGTGATTAGCTCTGCTTCTGCAGGTCAGGAAAGTTTCACAGAGGAGAAACCATCACACACACACACATAACACTCTTAGTGCAGAGGGTAGTATTGTCTGTAAGTCCTGTAGTAGGTGAGGTGACCTAAAAGCTGAGGCCTAAGAAAGGTCTAAGGCAGTAGTGGAAAGGTCCCTGACATTGAGCTGAGGAACTATGGTGTCCAGACCCAACTTTGTAATTATATAGCCCTGGGACCGCAAAAGGAACCATAGGACCAAGAAAGGTAAGAAACAGAGGCCTTAGACGGTCCTTCACTGTATGACACTGTAGGATAAGCATGGGACTGTCAACTGCAAGGTCAGTGGTCACTCCTCAGAGTCACTATAAGTCGGAACCAATACCAGGCCATCCCAGAACATCAGCAGGTAGAGTTTCTGACCCTGTTGTGCTCTGCCCCACCCAGATTGGAGACCCACACTTGGTGATCTGCATGGACTGTTCAGCAGACACCATGACCAACCGTCTTCTCCAGCGGAGTCAGAGCAATCCACATGTGGACGACAACACCAAGAACATTGCCAAGCGCCTTGAAACCTACTACCGCGCGTCCATCCCTGTGATCGCCTACTATGAGACAAAAACACAGCTTCACAAGGTGAATCCTTCAACTTCTCCCCCACTAACATGATCCAATGACCCTCTCCCCTGTCCCATCTCCAAATAAAAGAAAAAGCAAGGAAATTTTAGGTTAAGGAGTCGGGAAATTCAAACTGCAAGCAGCTGCAGAGTTTGAGTCAAAATATGGGTCTCTTACTCTCCTTTGTCCCAATCAACATCTATCATCATACAAATCATAAAATGTCAGTCCTATAATTCTCAAGGGTGCTATCATCATTTCTGAAAACAAATTCCTTTTCCAAGAGAATGAAAGATAAAGGTATGATGAGGCATAATTTCTGAATTAACTTGATGCATAACCTCTGGATTCCAGCTGAACAGAATGATCCAAAAGGTCCCTCTGTATCTAAAAACTCAACAACTTTACAATTCTAAATTTATACATAGCTCATACTTAGTACTTGGCTGCTTTGCCTCAATTCCCTGCCATCACTGATATTATCAAAAAAAAGACAGCATAAGGGGCCAGGAGAGCAGGAAATTTAGATGAAACCATGAAGACACAGCAGGGCAGTAATGGTGTCCACTTGATGATCATGAGCTATCATCCACACTAGATTTCTGGAATTGTAGGAAACTGGCCAACGCACATTCATTTAGTCATTTAACAACTATTTATTAAGACCCTTCTATGAGCCAGGCATTGTCCTAGTGGTTTGGATGCAGAGTAAGATGCAGTTCTGTCCGGGAGATGGAAAACAAGTGACCATAAAGTGGGGTCAAAGCAAGTTCCAAGGGCCCTTTAGCCTAGTCTGAGGGGAAAGGGAAGATGAGGGTAGGGTACCCGAGGAGAACTAAATTTGGTCTAGGGAGCAAGGAGTTAACTCTGGTGGTGCAGTGGTTAAAACACTCTACTGCTAACCAAAAGGTCACCAGTTCAAACCCATCAGTTGTTCCATGGGAGAAAGGTGTGGTAATCTACTTCCATAAAAATGTACCTTAGAAATTCAATGGGGCATTTCTGCTCTGTTCTTTGTGTTGGAATCGACTCAATGGCAGTAGGTTTGGTTTGGTTGGGGGCACAGGGGCACAATACTGCAGGAGCAGAGTACTCCACCCCCAAAGGAGACCCAAGTGAAAAGCCAGGAGGCAAGTACCCCATCTTGGCTGTTACATGCAGTGCCAAGGAAAAGAGAGACAAGCAATGGGGATAGAGAGGCAAACAAAGACCAGAACAAGACAAACCTTATGAAGGAGCAAATTATCCCATGGGTCATGGAAACTGAAGGGGACAGGCAGAATCAGAGCTTCTGTGTAGAAAGATCATTTGGTCAACTTTGTAGAAAATGGATTCAAAGGAAAGAAGGCTAGGAGACTACTGGGAGACGGAAACAGTAATGCAGAAACAAAACAAATCCTGAGGCCTTAAACTAGACTTGTTATTCTTGTTGAGTGCCGTTGAGTCAGTTCCAACTCATAGCGACTCTGTATAGGGTTTCCAAGGAGTGGTTGGTGAACTTGTACCACTTATCTTGCAGTTCAAACCGATCTTGTGGTCGAGTGTTTCTCCTATAGCACCACACCAGGACTCCATAGAGAGAATGAAGCTCTACCTCTTTCCTCTATTCACAGGCGATATCAATAAATAACAAACTATAAGCCTACTGGTACGTTATCAATGCCTTGGGGAAAGCAAGTGTTAGTAAATTCTTATCTAAACCTGTTAATGATCTATTATCCAGGATCCTAAGCAGTCCTAGGTATAGAAGCCTAAGAGGTACCCCTCTATTTAACTCTTATGTCAAAAATACGGCATGAGAACTATTATCCCCAACTTCTGTATCCATAGCAGACATGACAGATCAACCGCGACACTTTTTGGCAACACCCAGATGTGGCCTTAGGATGATTATCAACAAAGCACCCTACAAAAGGCCTGACATGCAAGATGAAACCTATTTGCTTTCTCCCTGTAACCTCTGTTGCCACATAAAGCAAAACCTTGCATATCTAGAAATAAGCAAGCAAAAAAAAAATGAATCATATAAAAGCAGTGTCTTTAGAACTCAGAGTGCGAGGCCTTTCCAAGATTAGACAGTCTGCTGGTGTCCACACTGTGTACCAGCTGGAATAGCCAGAAATTATCCAGATAGAAGGAAAATTTTTTTCCATGTTTAAGATTTTTAGGGGCAGAAAAATCCTTAGGTGATTCACGACATAACCACTATCAAAGTCAGAAAATTCCTTTTATCTCTCCATGGTATCATTCCAACATGAATTTTACAAATTCTCAGATGATCAACACATGGAAACAGGGTTGAGTTCTCAGATAAAATCGATTTCTAGAATCCTCTTTAGAAATGGCTAAGTTAGGAAAGAAAGTTTCCAGCCCCTTTGGCCCATCTCTTTTGGCCCTGCATTTAGGAGATGCCGGCAGCTGGGGCCATGGTGAGGCAACATTTATGATCCCCTTCAGATGTAGAGAAAGAAAACTGTCCCTGTCCTGGCCTGTAATGCAGTGTGAGCTGTAGGCCTCAGGACTCCCCTTGCAGAGGGCCACTGGGGAAGTCACTTCATCCATTCCAGCATCTGCTGGGAGAACATTTGAAAGCCAGAAAGAAGGGCCAAAGAGACCTCATATAAACAGCCATATGTACAACCTAGAAAGGTGAGGACTGTTGGCAGGTGCCACTTGGGGTTGTCAGCAGCTGGGCCACAGAGGTGCCCACCAAGGGACAGTCAGAAGAGGGAGATGAGATTGTTTTTCACTGGAGAAGGAGAAACCTCTGTCCCTTTCTGTTCTCTGGCTTTCTGGACATTTGCCCACTCTTCTTGCATCAGCTTAATCTCCCCTGGTTTCTGAGTAACCACGTGTGTCTTGTTTCCTTAATGTCTTTGCTTTGTTAGCACCTCCTTCCTGTCTCTGGTGTACAGAGCCCAAGGCAGGGCCCCTCACAGTCCCGGTGGGCTTGTGGGTAATTTTAACGGGTTTTCCACAATCCAAGATGGAAGTGGTGAATGCACTTCAAGACACATGAGACAAATCAGCAACTAAAGGAGACACATTTAAGAATCAGTACAACTCAGAAATAGACCAACCTCTGCTTAGTTTCCAGTTGTGCCTACATTAAATCCACCAGGGCCTAATGACAGCCAGCACCTTTGGCCACCATCTAGTCAAAGGAAGTACAATGAAATTTCAAACAAAGGGTAATAGAAAAGCAACATAGAATTTATACAGACACTGCTTTATTCTTTTATAGGCTTACTTTGCCATCATTGTATAACAAAGTGAAAATTTCTTATAAACCAAGGGGTAGAAGCATGTATAATACAATTTTCTAAGTGTTTTTTTCTTCTCCTAAAACCAGCTCTTGTTGTTGTTGTTAAGTGCCGTCGAATCAGTTCCAACCCATAGCAACCCTGCATAGGGTTTCCGAGAAGCAGCTGGTGAGCTTAAACCACCAACCTTGCAGTTCAAACGACTTTGCAGTCTGGCGTATTAACCCACAGCACCACACCAGGACTCCTACTCTGTACCTGATAAAGAGGTAGAACTGAATCTTTCTCCATCCCACACCCTTCCTCCTAGTGCTCAGGGCAGACATCACTAATCTCTCCTGGCACTGTTTTCCTATTAGGTGTGGATTCTGCCTCAGAAACATTCTCAGCACAGCAGGGCAGATAACCACATCCAGTCAGCTGGAATTAGTCCACCAGAGGGAGACTTTTTCACCCTGAGTGAGATAATTTATTATTGAATAAATAATAAATTAAAGTGTGTTGTTGTTGTTAAGTGCCATCGAGTTGATTCCAACCCATAGCGACCCTGTATAGGGTTTCCAAGGAGCAGCTGGTGAGCTTGAACTGCCGACCTTGCAGTTCAAACGGCTTTGCAGTCTGGCACATTAACCCACAGCGCCACACAAGGACTCCAATTGAAGTGTAGCATTGCAAAAATATGACACCAACTATCCCTCCCACAGCACTATCTACTCAGCTGGTTTTGAAAACTCTTCACAATGGCCACACAGCACTCAGACACCATATTCACAGTTAGGGGGGTTATTAGGGAAGTTAACAGGTTACAGTGCAGGGCCTGAATTTTTTCAGGACACAGTTCTTCCAGTCAGAACAGCCTCTCCTCAGCCATGCCCCCAGGCAGGGCTCTGTCTGCCCAGACAATGTTACAGAGCTTATTTAGGGCTGCCGATAATTGTCCATAGGACACACCACTCCTCCATGAGCCTAGTTGAAAGCTCTGAGCTCTTGCTCTGAGGATCAGTAAACCTAGGCTCACCACAGTTAAGTGCCTGAAGATACCCTCCACTGCAAGCATGCTCTACCTGTTCTGTGGGCTGGGAAAGTCCACAACTCTGTGTTATGCTCTGCTTCTTGGTTCCGTGATGCGGCTCCTTGGCCACTCCTCTGGTATCACAGCTTTCTGGTCCCTGGGTCAAGGAGGTTCAATGCACAAGGATCTCATGATCCAAAGGACATGCTCTGCTGACTCTTCTTCTTTTATGTAATAGTCCATAATACTGCTATTCTATAGTTTGTTCAAAGGAGCTCTGGTAGCGTAGTGGTTACGAATCGGGCTGCGAACCTTAAGGTCAGCGGTTCGAAACTACCAGCTGCTCCGCGGGAGAAAGATGAGGCTTTCTACTCCCGTAAGGATTTACACCCTCGGAAACCCTGTACAGGGTCGCTATGGGTCGGAACCGACTCGACGGCACTTAACAACAACAACAACAACATAGTTTGTTCAACCAGGCTGCTTCTAATTTAGTTTGGTTGTCTTTCTCTACCACCAACAACTATGTAGTAAACAAACATCCTTGACCAAGCTTTTTTTTTTTCCCCCTAGTAGGAAACATTGCTAAGCTAGTTCAAGCAGGGGCCTATTTTTTAATCCATTCACTTTCACTTTCCTTCATCTTCACATTGCCCTGAAAAGAGTTCTTTGAGATATTAAAAACCTTTACAATTTCCAGATTCTTGAAGCTTGGCCTCTTTTATCAATGCTCCACCTGTAAC